AAGGTATGTCTCCATATTCCGAGTCCAACTCTGACAAGAGAGCTTGGAATTATCGATAATTGAGAGCCTGTGATTGAATGAAATTAACAACCTTAATGACATCCTTCATGATATTTTTTAACCATACATTTTTAGCACACACATTTTCCTGGTGTATGATTCAGTGGTACTGCATAAACCGTTCTTAAAATCCACGCCAAGTTGGTCTTAAACAACAATAATTTATGGTGGTGTTGAAAAGGACTGTTTTGTCGTGATGGTTGAGTAATACTGAGTTATTAGGGTGTTCAATCAGGATGAGGCTGGAGAGATACCTACAAATGTTGTTTGGAACGAGGGTGACGTGCTTGGCATAGATGGCCCACAGCGACTCATAAAGAGCTACTGATTCCGATCAATAGCGGTGCGGCTTCTTCCTCCTTCTATAGATGCTCATGTGGGCTACAGCTCACTGCTTACAGGCAGCCTGTACTGGAGAACAATGTTAACCCTCCGTTACTCGCGCCAACTTTTGTAACACGAGTACTCGCGCGTTGTACTTTGTACAACAGTGTGAGCTTTCCATTGCCATTTTGCAGCCGAGCTACCAATCGATATGAAACCAACGGGTATTCCTTAAAAAACTTGTTTTGATCTAAACAAGCTTAACTTTATCACAGTTGACGCATTTTCTCACTGCGCGGCGCTAGTATACATGTGAAATTCTCGCATATATATAAAATCTCTAGATCCTTACCAGATAAAAAGTTACTGTCTTCGGCAAAATTTTTCAGGACATCAAGATTTTTTCGTTGGTGGAGTCGTTCAGAAAATTATCACTACGTGGTGCTAGTATACATATGCAATTCTCGCATATACAATAGCTCGAGATCCTGAGCAGATAGAAAGTTACTGTTTTCGGCAAACTTGTTCAGGGGGTCAAAACTTTTTCCCTTGTGGACAGTAGGCCAGAATTTTCTCACAACCTGGCGTTAGTAAACGTGTACAATTCTCGCGTATGCTATAGCTCGAAATCCTGAGCAGGTAGAAAATTACTGTCTTCGAAAAACTTGTTCATGAGGTCAATGTCTATTGTTTGGTGCACAATAGTTCTCGCATGTAAAATATCTCTAGATTCTGATCAGATAAAAAGTTACTGTCGTCGACAAAGTTGTTCAAGAGGTCATAACTTTTTCGCTAGTAGACAGTAGTTCAACATTTTCTCACTACGTAGCGCTAGTATACACTTGGAATTCTCGTATATGGTTTGTTACGAGATCCTGACCAGATAGAAAGTTACTGTCTTTGGCAAAGATGTTCAGGAGGTCAAAGCCTATTGCTTGGTGTACAATAGTTGAGAATTTCCTAATTGGCGCTAGTATACACGTGAAATTTTCACATATAAAATATCACGAGATCCTGACCAAATAGAATGTTACTGTCTTGGGCAAAGTTGTTCAGGAGGCCAAGGCCTATTTGCTGGTGGACAGAAATTCAATTTTTTTTTTCACATCATTGCGCATGTATACACCGAGACCTGCTAAATTGTCATTGGCAAAGTTGTCCAAGAGATCTAAACTTTTTCTTTGGTCGACAGTATAGAATTTTCTCACTGCGCGGCGCTAGGATATACGTTAAATCTTTGCATATATAATATCTCGAGATTCTGAACAGCTAGAAATTTACTTTATTTGGCAAAGCTGTTAAGGAGATAAAGATCTTTTGGCTGATGAACAGTAGTTCAGAAATTTCTCAAAACTTGGCAGGCAATTCTCGCATATCATATATTATAAAATAAAAATACAATTTACACCAGCCTAAGTGAGATAAGACAAATATATTCTGGATTTCTTTTACTGATGAAGATTTTCATGCAGATTTGTGGATACGTAAATTGGGGTGAGTCGTTCCACTTGTATATCTCTAATAAAATAGTGATTACACGTATCTCAGATGGAAAACATTATCTTAAAAGATCAATATCGCTGAAACTTCCACCAAATGAATGTTCAGAGTCTCCCTTTCATTTTAGGCTAATTTTAAAATGTCTTATCGAGGGGTCTAGAACAAAAAAGTCCATGTATTTACGTGTGCACGTGCAACGAGGCTCATTCAGAGAGTGAGGCATTTTTGCTCAGTTTAATAGAGAAAATTATAAAACCGTACACTCCCGATCATAAGTTTAAGGACACCCTCAACAAAACATGCAAATGTGTTATGTTCATATCTTTGTCATTTTACGTCCAATTTACGTTCTTTTTAGAACATTTGAAAAATTTTGAATGGAAATACGAAGAGGCAAATTGCTCAATATAATTTTCAAATTTTGTATACCAAAGATTCACCCAAAGTTACACTATTTTTCAAAACTTACTCTGAAGAATCATGGTTGATTTTCTCAGAATTAAGTTGAAAAAAAAAATTTGAATTTTAAAGTAGTAGTAGAACCCTTATGCTATACCATTCAAATAACGTAAGGAGATCAAAAATTAGATGTAAAATGAGAGAGCTTTGAACAAAAACAAAGCATGTATTTTGGGGGTGTATTTAAGCTTATGATCGGGAGTGTAGGTTACTCAGCGCTGAGTAAACTACGCTTTTGCAAATTTCTCCAGACAACTGAGTAAAGCAATCTCACGACTGAGATAGTCCTAACTGACTAACTCGTGTATATATATCCCAAGTAACCAAAAGTTCTGATAAAAGGCTATTTATGGCTTAAGCACCTTGGTTAAAGGTTGTCTATAGAATTCTAAGCAGCCTCATTTTTGAGTCGTTATAAGAACTTGAAAGTTCCGGTACCATAATAGAAGAGCATTCTAAGCAGCCTCTGGCAGAACTTGAACGGAACTTTTAGAAAATAAATTTAAAAAGGGTTTTGTCCTCTACACCAATTCTATGTTTAGTTCGCACTTTTATGAAAGTTATTTCTAAAGGCAGGTATTAATGTGTATTGATTTATCAGCATAAGTATTAGTAATGGAGCTGTTTGAAGAATTAAACCCAGTCCTTCTGCGTGAGAGTCTCAGCACGAACCACTACGTCATCTGAAATATATTAAAGTGAGCTGTTGTCCCGCCTATTGTTGTAGTTTTCTGAGCCTGCTGACTGACTTGAGTACGAAACACAACACCTTGATGAATTTAAATTGGTGTTTGCCCACATAGTATTCCATCACACTTGTGGTGCAGTAGTTAGCAATCGTAGATTACATGTCGAATACACGTGTTCGAATCCAGGAAATTACTTTTAATTTTTTTTTTTCAATTTTTGGATAGAATGTTGCATAAATATAAGAATTATGATTTATTCGGGCCACTGATTATTTCATATTTACGTACATTAAATTTTGTTACAAAAAAAAAGATTTGTGCGGATTGCTTCATGTGGCTTGAAAGTTCTGTCGGAACTTTATTTGAACTTTATGGAACTTGAAATTTCTGTTGGAACTTTATTTGAACTTTATGGAACTTGGAAGTTCTGTCGGAACTTTATTTGAACTTTATGGAACTTGGAAGTGTTGAATGCGGAACTTTTGGTTACTTGGGATATATTATACATTTTCATTACATTACACATTTTAGACGATCCGAGTAGATTCTTCTCACTTAGATTTAGGATAAGGTACATGTAACCATAAATTCGACGTCATACTCCTAGCAGCGTAGGAATAGCGGTACATATAATGAAAGAGATGATAATTTCATATTTTCAGTCCTTTTCTTTATGACTTTGGTATGTTCCTAACTCTATACGAAATTGGGCATTATTTTAGCTAGCTATGTTTCGATCATCTGCGCATCCATTTTGATTAATTCTATTACGCATTATTTCCTGTCGGTCGAAATGTAAGTGAATTACATATGTATACACATAAACTCGATAAATTTAAGCATTAATTTATATAGGTCAACTCCAAACCCTATGAAAGTTGGAAAATCACTTCTGGACCTTGACGAGGGAATTCCTCCATTCAAAGAAAGTGATGATGTTTTAAGTGATGAGGTTATCAGTGTAAATAGTTATAACACTGAATCTGAACAAGCTGGATCGGAAAATGATGATGACAACGACCAAGTAGGTAAGCAGTTTCTAGTGGGCAAAGATGGTATTACGAAGTGGAGGACAGAACCTTTTGCTACATCGTCGAAAACAAAGACTAAAAACATCATTCACATACAATCAGAGGTGTTAAAAGCGACTCAGAACTGAGTTCTTTCTTAACTCAATTCACAACAGATATGATTGATGAAATCGTCCTTTGCACTAATCTTTCTATACATCAGAAGGCAGAAAAATACAGCAGAACTAGAGATGCAAAAGAAACCACACGTGAGGAACTTATGGCATTGCTGGGAATTCTTTTTCTTATTGGAACCAAAAAAGGTCATCATGTAAATGTCAGGGAGTTGTGGGCATCGGATGGATCGGGCATGCAGATACTGCGAGCATTAATGGGCTACAACCGATTTCTCTTCCTCTTGTCGAACATTCGGTTCGGTGATAAAAGCTCTCGTGCGGATCGGAGAAAACTAGACAAATTGGCGGCAATCAGATCAATTTTTGACAAATTTGTTGGGAATATCAAAAGTACTTATTCCTGCACCGAAGAAGTCACTATTGACGAAATGCTACATCCTTTCCGGAGACGCTGTTCTTGGATACAATATATTCCAAGTAAGCCCGCCAAATATGGGATCAAAATTTTTGCTATGTGTGATGCCAAGACATTTTTTACAACCAACCTGGAGGTGTATGTTGGAAAACAACCTGCGGGGCCATACGAGACATCCAACTCTCCAAGAGATATAGTTGAAAGGCTTACCATCCCTATCCAAGGATCTTGGCGTACTCTAACGACAGATAACTGGTACACCAGCATCCCGCTAGCGGAATCATTATTTCAGAAAAAGATAACTCTTCTAGGAACTCTCAGAAAAAATAAAAGAGAAATACCTCCTAGATTTCAACCCAATAAGAATAAACCGGTTGAACACGCCGACTTCACATTTAGTCAAGATATGACACTTTTGTCATATGCTACAAAAATTAACAAAGGTGTTTTTTTGCTGTCGACAACACACGATTTTGGAAGCGTCGATGCTGATTCGAGGAAGCCACATATGATTATTGACTATAATCGTACTAAAGGTGGCGTCGACACAGTTGATCAACTTTGTGCAACATTTTCGGTTGCAAGAGTAACAAACCGGTGGCCCATGGTTATCTTCAATACAATTTTGAATATTTCTGGTAATAAAATTTAGATAAGTAAGTGGTAGTATTTTACTAACGTACAATACTTGTTTTGGTTTTCATCAGGTATAAATGCACAAATCATTGATAAGTCAATAAGGAGAGAGGACTCGCCGAAATTCAGAAGAGTGTTTCTTCATAATTTGGCTGTCGGTCTTATGAACGCGCAATTAATCTCGAGGGCGGCTATCCAAAGTTTCCCAAAAGACGTTACATGCTTCTTGCATGCAGTTGTGCCAACAAACGATCATGGAAGCACAGAAGAGAAGTCATCTGCGAAAAAAAGGAAGGGAACTTGTAAAACCTGCGGACGTACCCGAAACACCTCTACAACTCTCACGTGTGGTAGATGCAAAGAATTTACATGTAAACAACACGCTACGGTTACAACGCTGTGCAGCAGTTGTGCAACAGATGATGCTAATGAAGATGATTAGTTGATAAGGTTGTAAATATCATATGTAGATAAAATCTGTTTAAAATATTTTACGTTAGAAGAGAAAAAAAAACAATCTTCTTCTTCTATATATATAAAAATGAATTTCTGTCTGTCTGTCTGACCCTTATAGACTCGGAAACTACTGAACCGATTAGCGTGAAAATTTGTACACAGGGGTTTTTGGGGCCGTGGAAGGTTCTTATGATTGTTCGAGACCCCTCCCCCTTCTGTAAGGGGGGGCTCCCATACAAATGAAACAGAAATTTCTGCATAACTCGAGAACTAATCAAGCAAATGGAACCAAATTAGGCATGTGGGGGCGAGTGTGGGGGTATAAGGAGATAATCATAGGGGGTAGCCCCTTAGATAATAGGGGGGGGGGGGGCTACGTACAATATAGCATGCTTTTTTTTAAATCGGCGCATAAACTCAAGCTAATATTGAATCCCGAGCAAGACCGGGAGTAATAAATAAAAACAATATGTGGCTCAAGGTTTCGCACTAAATAAGGTAAAAATTGAAATAATATGATCACATCGAACTATATTCATGACTTCTAAACCTATATTGCACACTTAGTTTTTTCTACCGAGCTCGGCTGTGCAAATTTCGGCAAAAAATGTTTTACTGAGATCTCAGCAAGTATTTCATTTCTTTGCTGTGATTCAGCTAAGCATTATCCGAAATGTCACTTTTGCTGAGATCTCAGTGAAACTTATTTTTGCCGAGATTTGCACAGCCGAGCTCGGTAGAAAAAAAACTAAGTGTGTGGGTATAATGGAGGTATCTAGTTCCTTTTCACAACCTAATAATAAAGCTGCATTTGATTCAGTATATTTTACAATTCACATGTACACACTTAATCTAGCTCGGTAAAATCTCCAACAGCCGATTACCTAGTCTGAGTCTCAGTAATTGTTTCACTGAATAAATTGCAGAAATACTCAGCTGTTGGAATCTCTGCGAAAAAAATTAAGTGTGTATACTAATGCAGCAAAGCGAAAGAATTCGGAACTAATCAACTCACCATCCGGAAGAACTTTGCCGCATGTACAACTTTGACGATGGCAGTTACTTCCTGACCTTAAGCTATAGCATATACAAATATTTTACATACACACTAGCGCCGCATACCGAAAATATTCTGAACTATTTACTGTTCACCAGCCAAAAAGTTTTGATCTCCTTAACAACTTTGCTGAAGACAGTAATTTTCTAGCTGTTCGGGATCTCGAACTGTAGCATATATGAGGATTGCACGTGTATACTATTTAGCGCAGCGCAGCGAGTAAATTCTGAACTACTGTTCACCAGCCAAAAGACCTTGACCTCCTTTCCGGAGACGAACCAGCCCAGGGCTGAAAGTCTCCTTTATAAACATATAAAAAAAACTTGACCTCCTGAACAACTCTGCCGAAGACAGTAACTTTCTATCTGGTCAGGATCTCGAGATATATCACAGGCAAGAATTTCAAATTTCACTAGCTCTACGTAGTGAGAAAATTTTTAACAACTGTCCACGAGCAAAAAGACCTTGACCTCCTGAACAACTTTGTGGTAGACAGTAAGTTTTTATCTGGTCAGGATCTCGAGATATAGCATATGCGAGAAGTGTACATGTATACTAACGCCACGTGGTGAGAAAATTCTTAACTACTGTCCACCAGCCAAAAAGTCTTGACCCCCTAAACAACTTTGCCGAAGACAGCAACTTCTAGCTGATCAAAATCTCGAGCCATGGAATATGCGAGAAAGGCACGTTTATACTAGCGCTGCATAGCGAAAAAATTCTGAATTATTGTCACCCAACAAAAAGATCTTGAATTCCTGAAAAACTTTGCCGAATACATTTACTTTCTATCTGGTCAGGATCTAGAGATATTTCATATGCGAGAATTTCACATGTATAGTAGCGCCATGAAGTGAGAAAAGTCTGAAATACTGCGAAAAGACCTTGACCTCCTGAACAACTATGCCGAAGACAGTACCTTTCTATCTAGTCGAGAACTCGAGATATTTTATATGAGAATTTCACGTGTATACTAGCGTCGCGTAGTGAGCAAATTCTGAACTATTGAGCACCAAGCAATAGACTTTGACCTTCTGAAAAACTTTGTGAAAGACAGTATCTTTCCATCTGGTCAGGATCTCGAGATATATCACATGCGAGAATTTCACATGTATACTAGCGCTACGTAGTGAGAAAATTCTAAACTACTGTCCACCAGCGACAAGGCTATGATCTCTTGAACAACTTTGTCGCAGACAGTAACTTTCTATCTGGTCAGGATCTCGATATATTCCATGTTGTAATCAATTCAGTCAAATCCCACGTAGTATGGTCACAGTTTACGCGGTTTCCATTTACATTTTCCCTATTATCCGCATTTTTTAGGTGTTTACTGTAATCAAAATTTAGCTTGTTTAAATCAAAACAAGTTTTTTGAGGAATACTCGTTGGTTTCAGATCTATTGGTAGCTTAGCAACAACATGGCAATGGAAAACTCATGTGTGTTGTACAAAGTACAACAGCGCGAGTAACGGAGGGTTAAACGCCTCGCGCCGAAAGTACTACTGCTGCTGCAGCTGATGCCGACGACCAGATACCACCACATACGGTGATTGGAACTGAATCCGATCAACGATTGCGGCCAGCCTTGGTAGTTAGCTGCTTGCGAGGAGCCTTTCGTTGTGTATTGGAAAACACCACCACTCACCACGCGGTGATTGAATAAACACCGTTTGGTGAGACCGGATGGAATTCAACTTTGAAATCCATACCCAACTGATGGTAGCAGTACTAGTGCTCATCGCGCTGAAAATTTTAAAGTTGACATAGAGGTTCTGCAAGAAGCAGGCATTCAAAACAGCCCGCTCCATGGCCACCATCCAACAAGTCTAAGACCAGCAAGATGACCGCCAGGATTAACGCTGAATCAAGACGAAATGATGCATCGTAGGGAACGAGTCAAATGACATTGAAAAAGACAAACAAGAATTAGTGAAACCAATTTATTGTAATTAGTGTATAAAGACCCGAATAAACCAAAAAGGGTCTATAATACAAATAAAAAAAAGAGAGCTACTGAAACCGATCAGTGTGGCCGGTGTGGCTTCTTCCTCCTTCTTCGGTGAATGGACGCTCATGTGGCATGCAGCTCCACGCTTGCTGGGAGCCTTTCATTGTGTACTGGAAAACAATGTTCAACGCCACGCGCCGAAAGCACTGCTGATGACGACCGACTGGACACCACCACACACCGTTCGACGAGACCGCATGGAATTCGATTTTGAAATCTGTGTTAGGGTAAGCGCTTTTTGCAAGCAATCGGTGATAATTTTGATCACCATTACAACGCTTGAACATTTATGTAATTTTAAATAGTGACCTATTGAAAATTGATAAAGTGTTCATTTTAGCAGATTCGTAGAAAAAATTCGCATCCGCTATTGACAGAGTTATAAATACCTAAGAAATATTTTCTAAACAAGATTGTACATAGTTTCGTAGATAATGTAAACTTCCTATAACTCAAAAATAAATCATAAGGGAAATTTTACGCGACGGATTCGTTTAAGAGCGCTTGTTTTTCGAATCTTGAATACGATTTTGACTAGATCCACACCGCAACACCAATCAGATATTGTTACTCATCTCTTCCTGACTTTGTGGATTCGAGCATTTCAATCAGAATTCCAATGAGTAATCCGAGTCCGATCGCACGATAGGTGGGTCAATTCCTTTTTTTTGTAAATTCCATTCCACGTGGCTATCATCGCTAGTCAGTTTAAGAAATACTTGATAATAATACGCTGTTTAAAGTTCGATTACAGATAATTTCATCTGAAAACCATCAGGCACCGTTCCTCAACTTCTTTTCCCTTCAGTAATTCTTTTATGATTTATTCCGTAACAAATCTTATTCACACGATAGAAAACTCATTCCAGCGCTTGCCCTTCCAAGATTCTAAACAAACCATCCTTGAAAGTACCCTTTACCTCCGCCAACCGGCTCCAGAGAGTAGCGCTTTGGATTTTCTCTGCCAACCCATATTTCATGCCCGACGACCGTTAAATGTCTGGTTCGATGTAGTAATTTGATCAAAATCTATATGCATATTAAACCCCAGCATGCAATCAGTCTGTCCCAGTCCCTGTCCCACCGAACACACTCACACAAACGAGCACCGCCGGATCGGGTTTCTTCGCCGAAGTTGTCCTCTGCCACAATTTGCAACTCTATCGAGCATTACATCGGAAGGTCTGACTCGCTCTCAACGCCCATTCCCCATCCAATTTGCCGAATCCATCGACAAAAAAAGTTTGAATTTAGAAATAAATCTACATAAAAATGAGCTATGTCGCGTGCTTGTTTCATCGCAATCCAAAAAAAAAAGAGCATTGCGTGCGCGGAAAGCTCCATTCCTTGGAGTGCCATTTGGCTCGCTTTCACGGCAGCAGCAGCCACGTCCTACAACTTAATAAATTTCCAAGATTACGGAGGCTTATTCCGACCTGCTAATTAAATTAGGCACCGTGCTAATTATTCACAAACTCGAAAGCTTCGGACGGCTGTGCCTCCCGGAGAAGGATCATGCTTTGGTCCTACGTCGGTATCAACATTCCATGATTCGGCGTAAGTTTGTTTGTTTGATTGACTGGAATGGGTTATTTATCTGTTTGGGTAATCAGTCATTTTAACAAAACAGTTTACTTTTCCGTGTGATCAATCAGGATTCAGCGATGAACTGGATTGATCGGGCATAGTTGGAAGTTCCCTTTCAAGTCGTCGTGGGTCGTTCCCCATTATTGAAATCAATGCAAAGGACTGTGCATCGATTCCATCGCAGAGACCGAGCTAATCATGACGAACTTTGGCAGTGTGCGTTGTTGTGGTTGCTATCCAACATCATACCCTGTCCTGGACATTAGCCCATTTTGTTGATTTTGGACAAAGCCATTGCTATCAAACATAAAACGATGCACCAAGTTGCCTCCCAGTAAAATTAGC